GAGGGCGGCGTCCGGGGCTGCTGGGAGGAGGCGGCGGGGCCGTTAAGGTAGGTGGCGGGGCCGCAGGTAGGTGGCGGGGCCGCTGGTAGGTGGCGGGGCCGCAGGTAGGTGGCGGGGCCGCAGGTAGGTGGCGGGGCCGCAGGTAGGCGCCGGGGCCGCACAGATAGATGGCGGGGCCGCGGGTAGGTGGCGGGGCCGCTGGTAGGTGGCGGGGCCGCAGGTAGGTGGCGGGGCCGCACAGGTAGGTGGCGGGGCCGCTGGTAGGTGGCGGGGCCGCTGGTAGGTGGCGGGGCCGCAGGTAGGTGGCGGGGCCGCACAGGTAGGTGGCGGGGCCGCGGGTAGGTGGCGGGGTCGCTGGTAGGTGGTGGGGCCGCAGGTAGGTGGCGGGGCCAGCAGGTAGGCGCCGGGGCCGCACAGGTAGGCGTCGGGGCCGCAGGTAGGCGCCGGGGCCGGTAAGGGCGGCGTCAGAGCCGGAGGGCGGCGCGAGGGCCGCTGGGTAGGCGACGAGGCCGCAGGGCGGCAGATCGGGTCCGGGAAAGGGCAGCGCGATGGCTGCGGGGTAGGCGACGAGGCCGCCGGGCGGCGGGTCGGGGCCAAGAAGGGCGGGGCGAGGGCCGCAAGGCAGGCGACAGGGCCGCAAGGGCGGCGCGACGGGGCGAGAAAAAAGGGGGAGCGCGACTCGGGCTAGGGCTGAGCGCGTTCCGGGCAGGAAAAAAATGTCGAATTGGTGGGCCCTAGGAACAGTTCCCACGAGGGAACCTGCTCGATACCATGTGAAAATTGAAACGAGAATGGATGAACTATGAATGAATTGGGTACAAGTACTAACCCTAATTGGGTTGTACCCCTTATGGGCTACCCCACTATAGCCTACACAATATGCATGAGCTATAATGTTCTGACAGTACCGGCTCACAAAGGGCACCGACTACATCCTACTAATCGTCTACGTAGACGATTTGCTCTACATCGGCTCAACCGACAGCGTCACTACCTGGTTCGAAGGGGAGCTACAAAAGGATCTCACACTCACGGTCTTATCCACCGTCACACAGTACCTCGGCCTCAACATTCAGGAAGAAGAAGACGCAATCTACCTCAGCGCCGCGAAATACGCCGACACCATCGCTAAACGCTTTGCACTCACGCCGACCAACATCTCCACGCCATATCGCTACGCGGCAGGAAACAACGGGGAAGGATCCACTCCACTAAAGTCCGCCGGTATACGCGACTACCAGAGAAAACTGGGTTGTCTTCTCTTCGCTGCCGTCACCTGCCGTCCGGATCTGTCATACTCTGCAAGTCAACTCGCTACTTACCTCAAGAAACCTGAAGCGGATCACATGGTGGAGCTCGACCGCGCTCTTCACTACCTCGTTAGCACTCCGATGATCGGCCTGACTTATCATAAGAATGGAACCTCGACACCTAAATTAATCGGCTACGTCGACGCCTATCACGCTGGCGACTCTGACAACAGGCGCTCGCGCACTGGCTACTTCTATCGCTTCGAGCCTATCGGGCCTATGTCCTGGCAATCGAGCAAGCGGGAATTAATCGCCCTCTCTTCAGCTGAGGCAGAATATATCGCCCTCTGCTCAGCCACCAAGGAAGGACTGTACCTTCGCGAACTCCTGGAGGAAGCCAAGCTAGCCCAGTTACCAAACTTCACCCAGTTCTGCGACAACCAGTCGGCCATTCGCATAGCCAACAAGAACGGCTTCGCAAACAGGACGAAACACATCGCCCTGCGATACTTCTTCGTGAAGGACGAGATTGAGAAGGGGAGACTCGAGCTGTCATACTGCCCCATGTCCGAGATGGCAGCCGACTACTTGACCAAGAAGCTCGGAAAGCAGAAGTTCGAGTACTGCATGCTGCTGACTGGACAGAGCCACGTCACCAGCAGCGACACTCCAGAAGCGAAGGGGAGTGTTGGAAACAATTAACTCTAAGCGCCTTTGTCGTGTCGAAACACCAAGTCAGAAACGAAGCGAAGCATATCGAAGCACTGGCGAGTCAACCCCCGGAAGTTGAGCAGTTGCTGGAAGTTACGCGAAAGTCAAAGGTCAGCGACCTTTGACCTGACAAGTACAGCGCGACAGCAAGGACACACAACTGACTCGTTACGGAGCAGTTACCCGAGTCGTCACTGTATCGAACCGCAACAGCAACAGTAAAACAGTTGGAACCGTATCTCTTCGTATTCCTTGTACGGTACTCTTATATAATATTGTATCTCGTTGCTTTAATCAATCAACTTTGCCCTCACATACCAGCGCAAGGTGGTTCAAACACTTCTCATTAAAGCTTCCGCTAATTACAACAAGTCCCACTTAGAGATCAGCCATGCAAAGATACTAAGGGGCTTTTCTCAGCCCAACACATCCAAGCAAGGCCGTCACCCATCGAGCATCTTGGTCCAATCAAACGGCTTCCAGCTCTCCATGAACTTGGTAACGCTCTGCTGCACCTCCTGCGGGCGCGACCCCACCCCTCCGCGCCCCCCTCTGGCGCGCGCGCGCCCACCGAAGCTCTGAGGGTCCATCTCCATGATGCCGGCGATGACATCGCGGCCCAACGACGCCTTGAAGGCGCTCTCGTCGTCAATCACGTGGCAGTAGCCGCCCTGCCAGGGAGGGAGCGGGGTGGGATGAGCAGCGAGGTGGGATGAGCAGCGAGGTGGAGCAGGTGGGTTGAGAGGGGGCGTCTCAGTTGATGAGGCCACGTGGTCATGGCTGCTGGCCTGGCCTGCTGGTGCTCCTCATTCAACCACATGCCTGTATGCCATGTGCCATGTGCGGTGTGCCATGTGCCTTGTAAGCATGTACCATATGCCATGTATCATGTGCCATATGCCATGTACCATGTACCATGTGCCATATCCCATGTACCGTGTACCATGTGCCATATGCCATGTACCATGTACCATGTGCTACACAAGAAGGAGGGTGTGTGCCGCTGTCTGCCATGTGCAATCCACCATCCGCCCTGCCCCATGCCCAATGTGCCAGCGAAATGCACCAACATCCATTCAGAAACACGGATGCAGCAACACATGGGCACAGAGCATGGCGAGCAGGCAGGGGGGGCTGACCTGCAGGCTGAACTCGACGTGGAAGTAGGGGAAGTTGGGCGGGATGGCAGAGCGCAGCCCGCCCCTGATGGCGCGCGTGTCGATGATGCGCTTGCTGTGCTGCTGGCTCCACTCGCTCTCCGCCTCGTCCAACGCCTAACGCACCCAGCACGTGGGGGAAAAGAAAGGAGAAGAGGGAATGGGTAGGGAGGAGGGGAGAAGGGAAGACGCATGAGGCAGTGAGAGGGCGTGAGATGTGCGCACATGGGACAGTGTGGCGGGTTGCATGTGAGGCACGTGTCCGCTCTTTTGACTCCATTCCATTCCAGGTCGCTTCTCACATCATGGCCTGCCTTTGCACGGCAGAAAGGTGCGCTGCACTGCAGCAGGCACATGAGCCCAGCAGCAGCAGGCATGTGTGTCCCACCCACCATTGAGGCCACACCCATCCATACCAGTCTCGCACCGTGGCTGTTTCGCAGCTACCTCCACCTCTTTACACCTCAACCCCTTTTCCTTAACTCACTTTCCACTCTGCACGCTTCCAATCTCTAGCCATCTGCCACTTCGAGACGCATCAGAGTTGCAATCGTGGAGAGGGAGCACATGCCAGTGTCCGTGTCGGTGTCCGTGTCAGAGTCAGTGTCAGTGTAAGTGTCAGAGTCAGTGTCAGTGTCAGTGTCCGTGTCAGTGTCAGTGTCCGTGTCAGTGTCAGTGTCAGAGTCTGTCAGTGTCAGTGTCCGTGTCAGTGTCAGAGTCAGTGTCAGTGTCAGATTCAGTGTCAGTGTCAGTGTCCGTGTCAGTGTCAGTGTCCGTGTCAGAGTCAGTGTCAGTGTCAGTGTCCGTGTCAGTGTCAGAGTCAGTGTCAGTGTCCATGTCAGTGTCAGTGTCAGTGTCAGTGCACGTACCGTGCGTGCCATGCACCGTGGCCCCACCTTTTTGAAGTAGAGCGGAGCCTGGGCCATGACAGCAGCGGGCACGGGGATGGCCTCCACGTAGCAGTGCTTGCGCTGCCGCCCCGCCCCGCCCACCCCCATGGCGCTCTCCAGGAAGATCACCCCCGCGCCCTCCTGGGTGGCCATGGCCATGCGCGTGAGGCACTTCTTGAAGTTGCGCACCTCGTCCCACACCGCCTCCTCCACCACCCGCATGCTGCCCTCGTGCTGCCACCACCGGGGGGGGGAGTGGCAAGGGGTGGAGGGGGTGAGCGAGTGTGGGGCACGAGCATGCATGGCCACTGCAGCAGGGGTTTTGAGTGTGAGGGGCGCCTTGTGGGGCCACTGCACGGTGTGGCTCACCTCAGACGGCACGATGAGCACGTGATTGGGCAGCAGAGAGCCCCCGGGCGGCAGCATGAGGTAGCTGTGGGCGGCAACGGACACCACAAGGTGGCGAGGGCGGGCGGGGCTGTCGATGCACTGCTGGCAGCGCTGCTGCACCGCCGCCTGGCGCCTGAACTCGCCCACCTGCCCCGCCTTCTCCCTCTGCTGCTGTGACGGCCTGCTTGGGGGGTGTGGGCAGTGCGGGTGAGAGATGGACACACGGGAGAGCCAAGGTGAGTGGAAGGTGAGGTAGCATGGCGCGAGAAGCATGGCGCGAGAAGCATGGCGCGAGAAGCATGGGGCGAGAAGCATGGGGCGAGAAGCATGGGGCGAGAAGCATGGCACGAGAAGCATGGGGCGAGAAGCATGGGGCGAGGAGCATGGGGCGAGGAGCATGGGGCGAGGAGCATGGGGCGAGGAGCATGGGGCGAGGAGCATGGGGCGAGGAGCATGGGGCGAGGAGCATGGGGCGAGGAGCATGGGGCGAGGAGCATGGGGCGAGAAGCATGGGGCGAGAAGCATGGGGCAAGCACCACGCACACGGAGCACACGGAGCACAACCACCATCCAAACACTCCCATTCGCCCATGCAGCTCAGCTCACCTGCCCTTCTTCCGCCCCCCTCCTCCCCCCCCTGCGTGCAGCCCCTCATCCCAGTCGTATTCATCATCCACCTCCACCGGCCCCTTGTACCGCCCGCCCGTCCGCCCGATGCCCGCCGCAACACGCCGGTCCCAGCCGCCCAGGTCGTCCGCGCCCGCCCGCTCCGCCGCCACCAGCTGCTGCAGCGACGCGCCGTCGTCGTCCGCAAAGTACCTGCAGGAGGGGCAGGGGCGCTCCCGGTGAGAAGGGCATAGTCAAGCGAAGGGCATAGTCGAGCGAAGGGCATAGTCGAGCGAAGGGCATAGTCGAGCGAAGGGTATAGTCGAGCGAAGCGCATAGTCGAGCGAAGGGCATAGTCGAGCGAAGGGCATAGTCGAGCGAAGGGCATAGTCGAGCGAAGGGCATAGCCGAGCGAAGGGCATAGTCGAGCGAAGGGCATAGTCGAGCGAAGGGCATAGTCGAGCGAAGGGCATAGTCGAGCGAAGGGCATAGTCGAGCGAAGGGCATAGTCGAGCGAAGGGCATAGTCGAGCGAAGGGCATAGTCGAGCGAAGGGCATAGTCGAGCGAAGGGCATAGTCGAGCGAAGGGCATAGTCGAGCGAAGGGCATAGTCGAGCGAAGGGCATAGTCGAGCGAAGGGCATAGTCGAGCAAAGGGCATAGTCGAGCGAAGGAGGGACGGAGGGAATAGGAGGAGAGGCAGACGCGATCGAGATTGGCTGCTGCTCTTGCTTGCCATGCCCTGCCCTTTGGCATCCGTTCCTCCCCTTGGCTCTCCCATCCCCTCTGCGCACCACACCTGGCCCACGCTCTACCACGTGCGCACTGCGCAGCAACGAAACCTGTCCGAGGGCCGGCACAAGGAGGGTGGGGGCTACAGCAACACGAGGGGGTCCGTGTGCAGGTAAGTATGGAAATGACGAGGAGGAGCCAAAACAAACAGGCACGATGTAAACTTGGGCAATAAGAAAGAAACGAAGGCCAACAGCGGATGGGACACCGTCTCAAGCATTTCCCACTTCAACATCCCCCTTCTCACCTCAACCTTCTTCGGGAAGGAAGCCACAAAACAATCCCTCATTGCCATCCCCCCACACCACCCCATCCCCCTCAACCTTGCCCCAATACCCCTCACCTTGCCCGCTGCCCCGTGCCCCCCTCCACATCGTATCGCTCCACACGCTTCTCCCGCCGCCCCGCCTGCACCTCGTCCCGCCCCTCCCGTGCCGCCATGACAGCTGGCAGGTACCGCCCGCTGCCATCCACCAGCGGCAGCTGCACCACCTCCCTCCGCCCCTCCCCCTCCCCCCTCTCCCCTTCTCCGTCCCCCCTGCCCTCCCCCAGAGCCCGGGGCTCCAGTGTGGATGTGGCAGGTGCAGCCAGCAGCGCGGGCGGTGGTGCTGGTGGAGGGGGCTGGGACTTGGCCGCTGCTGCACGCTGTGAGGTGCATGGGTGATGGTGATGGTGACGGTGATGGTGAAAAGGAAACATAGGCTAGTTGAGGAAACATAGGCTAGTTGAGGAAACATAGGCTAGTTGAGGAAACATAGGCTAGTTGAGGAAACATAAGCTAGTTGAGGAAACATAGGCTAGTTGAGGAAACATAGGCTAGTTGAGGAAACATAGGCTAGTTGAGGGAACAAAGGCTAGTTGAGGAAACATAGGCTAGTTGAGGAAACATAGGCTAGTTGAGGAAACATAGGCTAGTTGAGGAAACATAGGCTAGTTGAGGAAACATAAGCTAGTTGAGGAAACATAGGCTAGTTGAGGAAACATAGGCTAGTTGAGGAAACATAAGCTAGTTGAGGAAACATAGGCTAGTTGAGGAAACATAGGCTAGTTGAGGAAACATAGGCTAGTTGAGGAAACATAGGCTAGTTGAGGAAACATAGGCTAGTTGAGGAAACATAGGCTAGTTGAGGAAACATAGGCTAGTTGAGGAAACATAGGTTAGTTGAGGAAACATAGGCTAGTTGAGGAAACATAGGCTAGTTGAGGAAACATAGGCTAGTTGAGGAAACATAGGCTAGTTGAGGAAACATAAGCTAGTTGAGGAAACATAGGCTAGTTGAGGAAACATAGTCTAGTTGAGGAAACATAGGCTAGTTGAGGAAACAAAGGCTAGTTGAGGAAACATAGGCTAGTTGAGGAAACATAGGCTAGTTGAGGAAACATAGGCTAGTTGAGGAAACATAGGCTAGTTGAGGAAACATAAGCTAGTTGAGGAAACATAGGCTAGTTGAGGAAACATAGGCTAGTTGAGGAAACATAGGCTAGTTGAGGAAACATAGGCTAGTTGAGGAAACATAGGCTAGTTGAGGAAACATAGGCTAGTTGAGGAAACATAGGCTAGTTGAGGAAACATAGGCTAGTTGAGGAAACATAGGCTAGTTGAGGAAACATAGGCTAGTTGAGGAAACATAGGCTAGTTGAGGAAACATAGGCTAGTTGAGGAAACATAGGCTAGTTGAGGAAACATAGGCTAGTTGAGGAAACATAGGCTAGTTGAGGAAACATAGGCTAGTTGAGGAAACATAAGCTAGTTGAGGAAACATAGGTTAGTTGAGGAAACATAGTCTAGTTGAGGAAACATAGGCTAGTTGAGGAAACAAAGGCTAGTTGAGGAAACATAGGCTAGTTGAGGAAACATAGGCTAGTTGAGGAAACATAGGCTAGTTGAGGAAACATAGGCTAGTTGAGGAAACATAAGCTAGTTGAGGAAACATAGGCTAGTTGAGGAAACATGGGCTAGTTGAGGAAACATAGGCTAGTTGAGGAAACATAGGCTAGTTGAGGAAACATAGGCTAGTTGAGGAAACATAGGCTAGTTGAGGAAACATAGGCTAGTTGAGGAAACATAGGCTAGTTGAGGAAACATAGGCTAGTTGAGGAAACATAGGCTAGTTGAGGAAACATAGGCTAGTTGAGGAAACATAGGCTAGTTGAGGAAACATAGGCTAGTTGAGGAAACATAGGCTAGTTGAGGAAACATAGGCTAGTTGAGGAAACATAGGCTAGTTGAGGAAACATAGGCTAGTTGAGGAAACATAGGTTAGTTGAGGAAACATAGGCTAGTTGAGGAAACATAGGCTAGTTGAGGAAACATAGGCTAGTTGAGGAAACATAGGCTAGTTGAGGAAACATAGGCTAGTTGAGGAATTGGTCGACCGGGAACAAGCATCGTCAGTGCATCAAAGAAGTTTCAGACACACCACAAAAAACATCAGAGAGACTTATTTGTCAAACATGTTTACATGCACCCATGCGTCCAAACATCCACGCACCCTTGCACTGCACTCCACAGGTAGCGCTAGTTCTGCACCTATTACAGCGCACTCCCTCAGCCACACTCCACTGCCACACTCCCTTACCATCCTCCACTCGCCCCATCCCACCTGCGCCCATCCCACCTGCGCCCATCCCACCTGCGCCCATCCCACCTGCGCCCATCCCCCCTGCGCCCATCCCCCCTGCGCCCATCCCCTCTGCGCCCAGCCCACCTGCCAACAGTCGGCTTCATCCGCGTTGCCCATCAGCTTGAGCCGCATGGCCTTTGCCGCCATCTGATTGGCTGTCAGTCCGCCTGCCAGTATCTCCTGCACGCGTGCATCGCCCGCATCCACAGCAGCCCCACCACCACCCTCCATGCCCTCCCCTCCCCCTCTCGCAAACCTCCCCACCTCCTCCCCTGCACCCCTCTCTCCACTGTCCTCACTCGCCCTTCCCTCACTCGCCCTTCCCTCACTCGCCCTTCCCTCACCGCCCTCCCTCCAGTCACTCTTGTCCCCATCACCTGCGGTTACTCCCTCTGCCTTCTCACCAGCCCCACCTGCATCCCGGCCTCTCGCCCCTGCTGCTCCGCTCCTACCGTCTGCACCCCTCGCCTCCTCCCTGGTCCCAACTCCCCTTAGCGGCTTCCCCCCGCCCGCATCTGGCCCTGCCACCACGTCACCACGGGCCAGCTGCTGCGCAAGGAAGCCGCCGTCGTCAGCGAAGGCATTGACGCTGCGAGCCGCCTCCTCCAGCACGCCATCGGCCCACCCGCCCCGCCTGCCCACGCCCATGCCAGGCCTCCACGCCCCCACCCCCTTCCACGCCTGCTTCCTCTCCTCACCCCCCTCGCCCCCCCCTCCTTCCCCTGCCCTCGACTTGTCACCCGCTACCCCCCTCTCACCCCGTGCCCCGCCCTCTCCTCGCCGGCGCCACGACACTGACTCCTGCTGTGGCACTCTCATGCCCGCCCTCGCCCCCACTGACACGCCCTCCAGGTACCCCATCCTGCCGCCCCTCATCCGCCTCTCCTCCTCTTCGTCCTCCTCCTCCTCACCGCCATCATCTCGCCCACCCCTCCTGCCACGCCCCTCTCCCTCCCTCTCTCTCTCTCCCTCCTGCCTCCACCCTCCCCTGCCTCCGCTCCCCTTGTCCCTTGTGCCTCCCTCCTTGCCTCTCCAACCCTTTCCCTCTCCACCTCTCCATCCATCCCCCTTGACGTCTTCAATCCTCAGCCCCTCACCATCCCTGCTCCTTTTCCCCTCTCTCTCTCCTTCTCCCCTCCCATCCTTCGCCCCCTCCCCCTCGTCCCCTCTGTCCTCCCCCACCCCCCTCTCGCGGTCGCGGGCAGCATGCTTGTGGGCGAAGGCGGGGGCAGCGCGGGCGGAGGAGAGGCGGGCGGTGAGGGAGGAGAGCGAGCCCCACCGGTCCGACACCACCTGGGAGGGACGGAGGGTTGGGGAGAGAGGGGGGGGAGGAAGGAGGGACAGGCTGGTTATGGTGTGGCTGAAAGGGATGAAGCGAGAATGAGAAGCAGGGTCCCCAGCACGATGTCTCACAAGCGAGCCATGCAGGCAGGCATCATCCCGTAGTGAAGCACGCATTCCCACTTCCAGCACCACACCACCACCTGCGTCGTTGGATCCCCCGCCGTCTCACCTTCACCCCCCTCCCTCCCTCCCTTACTTCACCTCTCTCCCCTCACCTCGCTCAGTCGCTTCCCCTCGCGCTCCGCCTGCTCCTTGGCGCGCCGCAGAGCCTTCAGCCGCCAGCTGGCACCGCCATCGCCCACACCGGGCGGCGGTGCTGGGCGGGCAGAGCCCAGCCGTTGGGCGGCAGAATGGGCGGCAGGGTCAGCAGCAGGGTGGGCGGCAGCGGAGTCAGGGAAGCCGTCCCCGGTCTTGAAGTACGGGTTGAGCTCGCGTGCACTGCTTCCCAGCACTATCTGCGCATGCCGCGCAGGGGGCAGGGGGGACAGGGCAGGGGACATGGGCATTCAATGAGCAAGGTGGGAGACATACGTGCAGGAAAACGCAGACAACGAGAGGGGCATACCAGAGAGGAATGAGAGGTGACAGAGAAACACTGAAAGCAATAGGAGGCAAAGGGAGGAAATCAGGACTGGCAGTGACGAAGTGCAGAGTCGACGGTGATGCTATGCTGTGAGGCACCCACCCATATACAACGCCCCTCCCTTCCCCCTCACCTGTTTCCTGCCCTTCTCCTCCTCCTCCTCCACCGCCCTCGCTTCCCCCAGCGGCCGCTCCGGGGCGCGCATCATCCACTCCATCCCCGCTGCCTCACGCGACTGCTGCCCGCCCTGCCCTGCTCCCTCTGACCGCGCACCCAAGCCTGCACCCAAGCCTGCACCCGAGCCTGCACCTGAGCATGCCCCTGGGGATGGGGATGGAAGCAGGGGAGAGGAGGACAGGGATGGAGCGTATGCGTTGACAGAGTGCAGGGTGCAGTGCACTAGGTGGACGAGCAACGAGGGGAGCGGTGAGGGGAGCGGTGGGAGGGGCAGCACACGAATAATCACTTGGCAATACTTGTCACTCGCATCCGCGACATGCCGTGCCTGTCTCACGCCGTGCCTGTCTCACGCCGTGCCTGTCTCACGCCGTGCCTGTCTCATGCCGTGCCTGTCTCACGCCGTGCCTGTCTCACGCCGTGCCTGTCTCACGCCGTGCCTGTCTCGCGCCGTGCCTGTCTCACGCCGTGCCTGTCTCACGCCGTGCCTGTCTCACGCCGTGCCTGTCTCACGCCGTGCCTGTCTCGCGCCGTGCCTGTCTCGCGCCGTGCCTGTCTCATGCCGTGCCTGTCTCACGCCGTGCCTGTCTCACGCCGTGCCTGTCTCACGCCGTGCCTGTCTCACGCCGTGCCTGTCTCACGCCGTGCCTGTCTCACGCCGTGCCTGTCTCACGCCGTGCCTGTCTCACGCCGTGCCTGTCTCGCGCCGTGCCTGTCTCACGCCGTGCCTGTCTCGCGCCGTGCCTGTCTCACGCCGTGCCTGTCTCACGCCGTGCCTGTCTCACGCCGTGCCTGTCTCACGCCGTGCCTGTCTCGCGCCGTGCCTGTCTCGCGCCGTGCCTGTCTCATGCCGTGCCTGTCTCACGCCGTGCCTGTCTCACGCCGTGCCTGTCTCACGCCGTGCCTGTCTCACGCCGTGCCTGTCTCACGCCGTGCCTGTCTCACGCCGTGCCTGTCTCACGCCGTGCCTGTCTCACGCCGTGCCTGTCTCGCGCCGTGCCTGTCTCACGCCATGCCTGTCTCACGCCGTGCCTGTCTCATGCCGTGCCTGTCTCACGCCGTGCCTGTCTCACGCCGTGCCTGTCTCACGCCGTGCCTGTCTCACGCCGTGCCTGTCTCACGCCGTGCCTGTCTCACGCCGTGCCTGTCTCACGCCGTGCCTGTCTCACGCCGTGCCTGTCTCACGCCGTGCCTGTCTCACGCCGTGCCTGTCTCGCGCCGTGCCTGTCTCACGCCGTGCCTGTCTCGTGCCGCGCCTGACTCGCGCCTCACCTGCGGTCACACCAGCTCGTATCTCGTCGCCCTCCTCATCCGACCCCTCCGAGTCATCTGAGCCGTCCGATACGTCCTCGATCCATTTGCCCCGCCTCTTCCTTCGCTCCTCCCGCTTCCTCGCTCTCCTCGTCGCCCGCCCATCCTCGCTGTCCGATTCGCTCTCCCCCGCCTCGCTCTCACCCCCGCGCCGCCCTCTCCTCTTTCCTTTCTTCCCGCCTCTTTCCTTCTTCCGCTTCTTTCGTCGTCTCTCCCGCTCGCTGTCGCTCGAGTCGTCCGATCCCTTCCTGGGCTTCACCTTATGCCCGCTGCTATCCTTCTTTCTCTCGCCAGCGCTGTCAACCCTAACGAATTTCACGGCGCTGAGCATGCTGAGTGACACACGCGATGGAAGAGGCCAACTGCGAGCTGCAAGGCAACAGAGATAGTGTCGAAAAGCGAACAGTCAGGTTCGGGTAACCACCTCGCGAGCGTCGTCAAAACGCACTTAATAACGGGAGGGAATGACCGGCGGTCTCGGCTTCGCGCCTTGACTTCCTTCGGTTAGAGCTTCTGACTGCCGTCCTTTCGCGTGCGCGTCGTATTCCTATAAAACCCGCGTGTCAAGAAAGCCCACATTAGCTCATCCTTCCTAATGTTGGTTGGGTGTAACTTGGTTGCCAGCAGCGCGACGGGAGGACATAGCAGCGCGACGGGAGGAGATTGCCACTCTGCATGAAGGGATCGCCGCGCAAAGGGAAGGGAATGGCCGAGCGACGGGTAGGGTATTGTCGCGTTTAAAATTGTTTTCGGCGCGCGGCAGTGGAACTCTGGCGTGATGAATGGGTGTCGCGGCGCGTTTTCCGAAAATCTCGTGCAAGCATATACTCACACGTGTCTTCGGCCGCGATACACTACGTTTGTCTAGCGTGAATGGGTCCCTGTTTCACCTCGCAAATCCCCTTCTGATTTCCCCAGGTAACGTGACGCTCGGGCTCGTTGACCACGCTAAGTGCTCCCATTAAGCGAAAGAGTGGTGAGGTCTAGGGACTCCTACACCTGGAATCACGCAGGTGATTACCGTGTTGCATCGTGGGTACCGTGGTGTCATCATGCTTTCATGCAATTACATTCACAATCTTGGGCCCTGTTCGGCTGCAAAATTGCACGTTTTTTCCCATCTAGGTTCGGTGTTGTGCGGGAGGTCTGGTTCCGAACGTTGGGAAGTTCGGAAACCGAACATCCCAGCGGAATTCGGTCGACGGAGCCGAACTGCCAGTGTCGTCGAGGGGGGTCGTCAAAGCCTGGGCTGACGGGGCGGAGCACTGACGCGCGTGCGGGCCCGCCAGCCTGGCCCAGGGCTGGGCCGAGCGCACGACCGCCGCCCCGCAACCCCGCCCCGAATGTGAACAGCGGCCCACGTTACCGGGTGGGGTCGGCGAACTGGCGACACCTCGCGCGTGGGAAAATTACCCTCGCGCGAAGGCAGCCCACGCGCGCCACCTGCCCGCGAGGTCCTAGTAACCCATCGCGGCCTGCCCGGACAGGCAGGCGAGGGCCAGGCGAAAAGTCGGGGCCCCCTCGGGACACTCGACAACTTCGCGACCCGTTGCAGTGACGCCACGTGTTCGCCTGCCTACTTCGCATCGGGCAACATGCAGAATTTGATACATTGCGAATTCAATTCGGGACATCGCGAATTCGATGTCGATCGCTTCGCGGCGCACGTTTTTCGCTTCGGGGCGTGACATCGACTTGCTGGCTCGGCGGCGAATGAGGACTTGTGCCACTTGTGCACGACCCCGCCAAACCCCGCCGAGGCAGGCACCACGAGGGCCGGGCGATGCCTCGACCGTTCCTGTGGGGCACCGACCCCCTTTTCTTGGTGGAAGGGGGCATAGCTCCTCATTTTCGGCATCTCGTTTCCCTTTCCACCTTTTCCCCAGCTCTGCGCCTTCTCCCACATTTCACGTCCCTTAGCCGCTTCCCTGTCAGATTATCATAGCTGATGCATGTTTGTAGGCCATAGTGGGGTAGCACATATGGGGTACAGCTTTCTAGGGTTGTATTTGTACCCAACTCTGACTTAGTCATTTCATTCCTGTTTTCCTTGCTTCACATGGTATCAGAGCGGGTCCTGCCTTAGGACCGTTTTTTTAGGGCCCACCGAAGCGCGCCCCGAGGCGCGCCCTTTTTTTTTTAGCGACCCCTCGGGTCGCCTTTTCCCTCGCGGCCCCGCTGTCCCTCAGACGCGGCCCTGCCACCTCTCCTGATCGCGGCCCCGCCGCCTGCTTGATCGCGGCCCCGCCGCCTACTTGACGCGGCCCCGCCGCCTCCCCTGACGCGGCCCCGCCGCCTCCCCTGAAGCGGCCCCGCCGCCTCCCCTGACGCGGCCCCGCTGCCTCCCCTGACGCGGCCCCGCCTCTACTGCCGCGGCCCCGCCGCCGCCTCTGACGGCCCCGCCGCTGCACCCTACGGCCCGCCGCTGCACCCTACGGCCCGCCGCCTCTGACGGCCCCGCCGCTGCACCCTCGGCCCGCCGCTGCTCCTGCCGGCCCGCCGCCTCACCTGACGGCCCCGCCGCTGCTCCTGCCGGCTCGCCGCTGCTCCTGCCGGCCCGCCGCCTCACCTGACGGCCCCGCCGCTGCTCCTGCCGGCCCGCCGCTGCTCCTGCCGGCCCGCCGCTGCACCTGCCGGCCCGCCGCTGCACCCAGCGGCCCGCCGCTTCACCTGACGGCCCCGCCGCTGCACCTGTCGGCCTGCCGCTGCACCCTACGGCCCGCCGCCTGCACCTGCCGGCCCGCCGCTGCACCTGCCGGCCCGCCGCTGCACCTGCCGGCCCGCCGCTGCACCTGCCGGCCCGCCACTGCACCGGTCGACCCGCCGCTGCACCTGACGGCCCCGCCCCTGCATCTCCCGGCCGAGCCGCCCCAGCAGCCGAACCGCCCGGGACCCGAGCCGCCCTGCCGCCGAGCCGCCCGGGAGCCGAGCCGCCCTGCACCCGAGCCGCCCAGCCGCCGAGCCGCCCTGCGCCCGAGCCGCCCAGCCGCCGAGCCGCCCGGGAGCCGAGCCGCTGTGCACCCGAGCCGCCCGGTCGCTGAGCCGCCTTTCTGCATAGCTGCACGACCTGCCCTGCCTGGTGAGCACAGTCCCACTGACACTGCGAGCTCTTTCCCTACTGCTTGCACTGCGTCGCTGTCGCCGCCATGGCTACCCCTAGTGTCCTAGCTTTTGACGCTGAGGGTCGCGCCATTGACTTTGAGGTCTGGTTAGACGACCTGCAGCTGTTCTTACAGTGCGACAGGGCTGACGACCTTTCTCTCTTTGACCTCACCTCTGGCGCCTCTCCTGCCCTTGCTGCTGATGCTGATCCCGCTGTCCGCTCTAAGTGGGCCACCCGCGATGCTGCTGCACGTCTTGCTGTGCGTCGCCACCTCCCTACCTCTGAGCGTGCGCACTTTAGTCAGTACAAGAGTGCTCAGACCTTGTACGACGCTGTAGTTGCGCGCTACTCCTCCCCTGCCACTGCTGCACTGAGCCGTCTCATGCTTCCCTACCTCTTTCCTGACCTCTCTGCCTTTCCCACTGTCGCTGACCTCATTACACACCTCCGCACTAGTGACACTCGCTACCGCGCCGCCCTTCCTGCTGAGTTCTGCGCTAAGAACCCCCCCCCCATGTACATCGCTCTCTACTACGTAGTCGCGCGCCTCCCTGACTCCCTTCGCGTCGTTAGGGACCACTTTCTTGCAGTCTGTCCCACCACCCTCACCGTCGACCTCCTCGAGAAGGCCCTCCTCGCAGCGGAGAAGAGCATAGTCGCTGTAGGTGCTTCTCGTGGTGACCCTCGCACCCCCATCTTTGAGGGGTGCTCTCCTTCCCCCTTGCTGCCCTCTGTTGCATCTGCTGCTGCTGCCGACCTGCTTGGTCTTGAGTCGGTCGGCGCGGCGTCTGCCCCTAGTGGGAGACGTCGCTCCAGCAAGGGCAAGGGGGGCAAGGGCGCGGGTGGAGCTGGAGGGGGCGGTGGCGGTGGCGGCGGTGGCGGCGGAGGGAGTGGGGGTGGCGGCGGGACTAGTGGCGGAGGTGGTGGTGGTGGTGGCAGCAGTGGCGGAGACGGTGGTGGTGGTGCCAGCAGTGGTGGTGGAGGCAGCGGCGGTGGTGGAGGCGGCGGAGGTGGAGGCGGTGGAGGCGGTAGCGGAGGAGGCGGTGGTGGTGGTGGAGGTGGAGCTGGTCGAGGTGGTACCCAGCAGCGTAGCGGCGGTGGTGGTGGCCAGCGCTCGCAGCGGCAGCAGCAGCAGCGCTCGCGGGACATCCCTCCGCCTCAGCAGCTTCGTGAGTGGTATGCTGGGCGTCAGAGGGGTGGGGGTACTGGTCCCTGCACCTACGTTCTTCGTTCCGGCGACCGCGCGGGTGAGCAGTGTGGGGGTGCCCACGCCACCCAGCCCTGCTTTGGCCGCCTGACGGACGCTTGGCGTCAGCAGTTCCCTGGGGCTAGTGAGATCCCTCGCTGGGATGAGCTTCTCAGGGCTGGTGTAGCGATCTTTGATCTTGATTTTGATGCTATCCTTGCTGCTATGTATGTTGTGGATTATAGTGAGGAGAATGAGGGTTACCGTTGTTTCCAGCCCGACCCGGGCATTGGTACTGCTGCGCTAGGTGCTTGTGAGGCTGCTGCTCTAGGTGCCAGTGCGTCTGTGCTCTCAGGTACTAGTGAGACTGCGCTCTCAGGTACTGCGTCGTCCTCGTCCTCCCTCACTTTCACACTTGACTCCGGAGCTTCTCGCTCCTTCTTTTGAGACCGCACTACCCTTACGCCGCTCGGCCGGCCGGTTGCGGTCTCCCTTGCTGACCCCTCTGGGGGTCCTGTCCTGTCTCACTTCTCCACTGTCCTCCCGTGTCCGGCTGCCCCTTCGGGCACCCTGTCGGGTCTGTACCTTCCCTCGTTCTCTACGAACTTGGTGAGTGGAGCGGACCTGCAGGATGTGGGGGTTCACCAGTTCACTCCTGCGAGTCAGCGGGTGACCCACTGCACGGAGGCACGCACAGGCCGACACCTGGCCACGTTCTCGCGTCGGCCGGGGTCGAGTCTCTACACCCTGACCGTTGAGTCTCCTCCTGTCCCTGCGTCTGGTCAGGTGGCTGCGTCGGGTCAGGTGCTTGCTGCTGCGTCCCGGTCAGGTCCTGAGTCTGCCCCCTGTTCTTGTCGCCTCCTGTCTCACGAGACTCTCCTATGGCACCACCGTCTTGGCCACCCCTCCTTGCCCCGTCTTCGGAGCATGGCTTCCCGTGTCCTTGTCTCTGGTCTTCCCCAGTCTCTCCCTCCTCTCCCCTCCGGGCCGGGACCTTCCTGTGTCCCCTGTGTCGAGGGTCGCCTCCGGGCTACTCCTCACTCCTCCCACTTCCCCCCGACAGAGGCTCCCCTGCAGACGCTTCACATGGATGTGTGGGGCCCAGCCCCCGTCCGTGGGCAGGGTTACGAGCGCTACTTCCTGTTGGTGGTTGACGACTACTCGCGTTACACCACAGTCCTCCCCTTGCGCAGCAAGGGTGCGGTCACTGAGGTACTGATCGACTGGATCCGCGAGGCTCATCTCCAGCTCAGGAAGAGCTTCGGCTCGGACTTTCCTGTTCTGCGTCTGCACTCTGACAGAGGCGGAGATTTCTCTTCTCGCCTTCTACGGGACTACTCTCGTGCACGGGGGATCCGCCAGACCTTCACGCTTCCGGACTCACCACAGCAAAATGGGATTGCTGAGCGCCGCATTGGCATGGTCATGGATGTCGCTCGTACGTCCATGATGCATGCGGCTGCCCCCCATTTTCTGTGGCCGTTTGCGGTGAGGTACGCGGCGCATCAGCTCAACCTTCACCCCCGGGTCTCTCGGCCTGCGATGTCCCCAGCCTTGCTGTGGACGGGGAAGGTTGGCGATGCGTCTGTGTTCCGTGTCTGGGGATCTCGGGCGTTTGTCCGCGACTTGTCTGCGGACAAGCTGTCCCCTCGTGCTGCTCCCTGTGTCTTCCTTGGCTTCCCCACTGACGCCCCAGGGTGGCAGTTTTACCACCCCTCCTCTCGTCGTGTTCTGTCCTCCCAGGACGTCACGTTCGACGAGTCAGTCCCCTTCTACCGTCTCTTCCCCTACCGCACTCCTTCCCTCCCCCCTCCCCCGGACTTCCTTGTGCCGGTTCCCCCCCCGGTAGACCCCCTCCCCCCTCAGGTTCCTGCCCCCTCAGGTGTGTCCCAGGTAGACGCCGTTCACCCGGTCGAGGTTACTGGTGACTCTGGTGCTGCTGCGGGTGCTGAGCCTGGGGGTGCTGACTCTGGGGGTGCTGTGCGCGGGGGTGCTGAGCCTGGGGGTGCTACTGCTGGGGGTGCTGGGCCTGAGGGTGCTACTGCGGAGGGTGCGGAGCCTGGGGGTGCTGAGCCGGGGGGTGCTGTGCCTGGAGGTGCTGGGTCTGGGGGTGCTGGGTCGGGAGCTGCTGAGCCTGGGGGTGCTGAGCTGGGAGCTGCTGAGCCTGGGGGTGCTGCGTCTGGAGCTGCTGAGCCTGGGGTTTCTCCTGCTGCTACGTCTCGCCGGGAGCCCCTCTCTCCACAGGAGCTGCGCGAGTGGTTTGCTCGCCGGTGGAGGCGTGCTGCTGAGTCTAGAGGTGCTGCTGGAGCTGGAGCTGGAGCTTCTTCGACCGTCGAGGGTGCGGGTGCTGCCGGTCCCGGAGCTGCTGGACCTGCGGGTCCTCCTGGAGCTGGAGCTGCTGAGGGCGCTGGTGCTGAGCCTACTGCTGTTGGTCCTGCCGCTGGAGGTGTGGGTGGCGCTGGTGCTGTCGCTGAGGGTGCTGGTGCTGTCCCTGCTGCGTCTGGAGCTGCCGCGCGGCCTCGGCCGTACTTCGTTCCGCTCCTGCAGCAGGTTCTTGGTCTTTCTCCTCCAGTAGAGGGTCCACCGCCTGTCCAGTCGCAGTCCCTGCTGGAGCCTTCCTCTCCCCTGCCTGCTCCCTCTCCTTACACTGGTCCTACTGGAGGTCTTGCTGAGCGTCGTGAGCCTGCGTCTCGTCCCGCGTCGCCTGTTCGTGCTGCTCGCGCTAGTGGTCGCAGTTCGCGTCAGCGTCCTCCTCCTGTCCCTGGCACGCACCGGATGTCTTTGCGTCCGTCCACTGCTCCTCTGCGTGCCCCTTTGCCTTCTCCTCCGGAGTCCTCTCTTCCTGCGCTTGCCGACCCTGAGTCGCACTCTCTTCGTGCTGCCAGTCCTACTGTCACGCGTCTGCTTGCTACTGTCGTCACTGACCCCTCTTTTGAGTCCACTGCTGCGTCTGCTCTAGTCGCTGAGCTCGTCGACTTTGCTGCTCGCTGTCGTCTCGACTACGCTGCTAGTCTTGTTGCTCAGTCTGCGTCTGTCTGTCCTCCGTCCGTCGGGGGTGAGTGTGCTCTTGGCACGGACGTCCTAGAGGACAGACAGGAGGAGTTACAGTGTCTAGCGACTGCTTCACCTCATCTCGCGTCTGTACTGCTTGCCCCTGAGGGAGACCCGGATGCACTAGACATCCCGACTCCGCGTTCTTACGCGGAGGCCGTAGAGGGTCCCTACTCCTCTCAGTGGCAGGCAGCTATGGATGCAGAGATGGCTTCCTGGAAGTCCACAGGCACCTACGTTGACGCGGTTCCCCCTCCTGGGGCGAACATCGTCAGTGGCATGTGGATCTTCAGGGTGAAGCGGCCGCCGGGCTCTCCACCTGTCTTCAAGGCGCGGTACGTTGCTCGTGGCTTCAGTCAGCGGCAGGGAGTTGACTACTTTCAGACCTTCTCTCCCACCCCGAAGATGACCACTCTTCGGGTGCTGCTGCACATAGCCGCTCAGCGCGACTACGAGCTTCACTCTCTCGACTTCAGCACTGCGTTCCTGCAGGGTAGCCTGCACGAGGAGATCTGGCTGCGCCGTCCACCTGGCTTCACTAGGACTTTCCCTCCTGGCACCCAGTGGAGCCTCCGACGGCCAGTCTACGGTCTCCGCCAGGCACCGCGTGAGTGGCACGACACACTGAGGACTACGCTTGCGGCTCTTGGGTTTGCTCCTTCTACTGCTGACCCGTCGCTGTTTCTTCGCACCGACACTTCCCTGCCGCCGTTCTACATCCTCGTGTACGTCGACGACTTGGTCTTTGCCACAGCGGACACTGCTGGACTCGCCTACGTGAAGTCCGAGCTGCACAAGAGACACACGTGCACAGACCTGGGTGAACTGCGCAGCTACCTTGGCTTGCAGATCACTCGGGACAGAGCACGCCGCACCATTACCTTGACTCAGTCACACATGGTGCAGCAGGTCCTTCAGCGCTTCGGCTTCACGTACTCCTCGCCTCAGGCCACTCCTCTGCCTACTCGCCACTCACTCTCAGCTCTGCCTTCGGATGAGTCCGTAGAGTCGAGTGGTCCGTATGCAGAGCTTGTTGGCTGCCTCATGTACCTGATGACCTGCACACGACCTGACCTTGCATACCCTCTGAGCATTCTTGCACGCTATGTTGCTCCTGGGAGACACAGACCAGAGCACATGGCTGCAGCGAAGAGGGTATTGCGCTACCTGTGCAGTACGTCGGGCATGGGGCTAGTGCTTGGAGGGCGGAGTCCAGTGGTCCTTACCGGCCACGCGGACGCTTCTTGGGCTGACGACCAGGCTACGCAGCGGTCGTCACAGGGTTACACCTTCAGCCTTGGTTCCGGCTCTGTCTCGTGGCGGTCTACTCGCTTGTCTTCGGTTCTCGGCTCCAGTTGTGAGGCTGAGATCTACGCCGGGGCCATGGCTGCACAGGAGCTTCGCTGGCTCACCTACCTGCTGACTGACCTTGGAGAGCCACCTCGTTCTCCTCCAGTGCTGTACGTAGACAACAAGGCCATGCTGGCCTTGTGTAGAGAGCAGCGCTTGGAGCATTCCCTTCCCCGCCATGTCGGCCGCCCCGAAACTCGGCGAAGTGACGCCGACTTCGCAGGACTTCCCTCTGTATCTCAACCTGGGCAGTGGACTCACTGCCAAGCTCGACGAACACAACTACGCCGTCCTCGTAGACTATAGGCTAGAGTTCAACGCCCGTTGCTTGGGATTCGGCCTCAAGTGAGTGTCCGTATTGGGATGCCGACGTCGACCGCTGGATACCTTGCAGGTCGACGTCGATAGGGTTGTCCCACGTTAGGGTTTAGATCACTACTCGGTGACGCACACAGCCGTAGGTAGGCATCGTACTCCGATCACTACAGTAGGTCGGTGCCCGCATCGGTAGGCGCCATTGATTACAACGTAGCGACGGTGGTGCACCGTTCTACTCTAGCCATCCCCGTCAGTTGTCGGTTCCAGAACCCACGTGTCCATCCGTCGTGCCGTGCACGTCCTCAAACACATCTACTACCCATGCATGCGTGCAGGTACGCATGGATTCGCGCGGCGCCGCCCAACATGCGATTGTGGTCGATAGGACTCGGCCGGCTTCGGGCGGCGATGGGCAAGGAAGACCACTCATGCTTTGCAACGGTGTTCGACGCCGACGTAGCTGTTATCCCTCTGCATTCGAGGTGAGCCTAAGTCATGATTGTATGCCATGATGCCTATGTCGCTGCTCCGTTCTGATCGACGTCGTGGTGCCTAGCCTGTGCAGCATCGCACCGCTTCCAGGGGCACATTGCAGCGTCGTGGTCATCCTGTACCCCGGCGACTTGTTGCGGGCCGGGGGAGAGACGATCAGGACCTCTGTCCGGCACTTCGACCCGCAAACCGTGAAGCAGTGGCACCGCGACGAGGCGATCCGCGTGCTGAAGTGAGCTCGATAGTGTAGTCGACGACGCATGCAATTTCGCCGCTGGGCGTTAAGCAAGTCTACAGACGATATGTGCCATGTTGCTTCGGGTTTTTCCGGGCGGCGGTGCTGGCCGAGCTCGGCCGCGATGGCCGGCACTGGGAGTGGCCGAAGCCTTCTGCTGAAGAGGTGGCGGCCAGGCTCGCCGACTTCAATGAACCCGTTCGAGATGTGAGTACCGATCGTTTTACCGTCCTAGCGCGATGCCATCGCCGCCGTCGGTGCTCATCCTTGCTCTCTGCTCTGTTGTTTGCAGAAAATGCGCGACACCGTCCGGGACAGCGACGCAGGCTCTGGCCTCCTATCAATGAGCGCGCTGTGCTGGGTGGTGAAGAGGATGGATCGCCTGACCGGCGACGACCGTCGCAGTGCGACCAGCATGGACAAGGTCCTCGTTTCGGGGTTGAAGGAGCAGCGGATTCGGATGATGACATACATCAAGGAACACGTCGCACGCAGACGGTCAGGCCATGTCGGAGTTGGTGCCGATGCCTGTGACGACGACGCCGCGGAGCCCCCTTCGGCATCCCAAGCAGTCGGTGTCGCCGACACCAGCGGAGAGGCCGGAGACGGCGTCAACAAGGCAGATGAGGAGGCAGAAAGGGCTGTGGCGAGGACCGCGGATCAGGAAAAGGAGGAGGAGGAGGATGACACCGACGATCAGGATGATAACGAGGAGGATCGTGAGGAGCGTGAGCAGGGGCATGGGCAGGAGGAGGAGGAGGAGGAGGAGGAGGAGGAGGAGGAGGAGGAGGAGGAGGAGGAGGAGGAGGAGGATGAGGAGGAGGAGGAGGAGGAGGAGGAGGAGGAGGATGAGGAGGAGGAGGAGGACAAGGAGGCGGCGGCGGCGGAGGCCGTGGAGCAGGGTTTCGGGTCGGTGGAGCAGGTGGCAGAGGGGGAGAAGCAGCAAGAGGGGGAGGAGGAGGTAGAGTTCCCCTGGGTCGAATTCGAGATGGAGGATGTTGAGGGAGCGGCGGCGGTGGCCGTGGAGGGAGCGGCGGCGGCCATGGAGGGAACGGGTGGGATGTCGGCGGATGTTGTGTACGTGCGAGGGGAGGGTGCCGATGCGGAGAATGTCGGCGTGGAGGAGGCGCACGTGGTCGGCAATGTGGTTGGCGACGCGAAGGAGGAGGATAACGTCGTGGCCCCGACGCCGACGGGCGTGGAGACCACCACAGGGAACGCAGGGGTGGAACGCCGGGGTGGAGCGGTAGAGGCGGGCCGTCAACCGGGTTCCTCAGCAGCTGGTCGGCAGGCAACGCCGGCCGTCGTCGCGCAGCTGCGACAGGAGAACATGTGGCTGAGGGCAGAAAATGCTCGTCTCGAGACGGCGCTCGAAGTGGAGAGGGGTCGGGTGGACAGGTTCGCGATGGGGATTGGCCACCTCGTGGACAAGCTCAGGTCGCCGCCTCCGACTAGGACGCGTCGAGTCGGCTGATGGACGCGTCCTTGACCATGGCGACGACCGTGACGGAGAACATCACCGCCAACATGGGTGAAGCATGGGATGCGATGAAGGCGTACGCCGAGAGGGCGGAGAGCTGGCTGGACGATCTAGAGAATCCGGAGGGGTTTATGGCGGTGCAACGTGCGAACGCGGTCGTCGCCCTGGGCAGCCACGTGGACGAAGCGATGAAGGGATTGGAGGAATACATATCGAAGCACCTAGTCGCCGCGCAGACCAACATCGCCGCCGCGGTAACTCAACGCGTCGCCGTCCCGCCGCCCACGCAGCCCGCCCCACCGCCAGCCTTCCCGGACGAGCTCATGAAGTCTTTCAAGGCGGACGTGTTGAAGGCGGTGACTGAGGCCACCCAGCAGTCGTTTGCTGCGTCCGGGTTAAACCTCATGACCAGGTGATCGGCCATCTGGCGCCTGGTCGGCATGGGTCGTCGCCGTCGGACAACGAGGCCGACAAGAAGGGTGCGAAAAGGGCGGGCGGCGGAGATGATGCGTTCAGCTCGAAGCGGAGCAAGGGAGCCGATGGGAGCCGCGGCGTCGGCCAGGCGGCTCGCGGGGCAAGGGAGCCGATGGAAGCGGAGGTACGAGCGTGGTCGACCAGCTGAAGAAGAACGGGGCCAAGGTGATAAGGACGCACAGCAAGGGCGATGGAATCAGGAGTGCGGAGGGGGGCCCTGCCGACCAGGTTGCCGCTCAAGAGGCTGGACCAACAGCCCCGCCATTGGTCGCCGAGAAGCCGGCCAGTCTAGCGACCGCACCAACGGCGATAGATGGCGGCGCCAAAACCGTCAAGGGACCGTCCGTCGGAGTGGCGGGGACCACGTCGATCCCCCGCAAACCCCCTGCGGCTAGCAGCGCGCCGGTCGCCCCGTCAGCCGCCAACAACGATAGGCCGTCCCTTGCGGCTACTCCAGCACCAGCAGGCACGTCTGCCGCCAGGGTTGACGCGGTGGATGCTGCGGCTAACCGCGCTGGTCCGTCCGCCCCAAAGGCGAACGCGCTCAGGGAGATGCTCTGCCGCATGGAGACCCATCGACAGGACGTGCAGCAGCCTCCCGTGGTCGGTACCGCGCCGGCCACAACAGCACGTCGCTCGGTCACTCCCCAGGTCGCCGCCACAATGTCCAGTGCCCCACCTACCGCGCCTATCATCGCCGCCCGTCCTCCGGTGGACCCAAAGTCCGCGTTGCTTCGCGCCCGGTTAGGCGCACGTACTGCGGCTGCGCAAGCACGGGCTCAGCCGGTATCCAGCTCATGCGCGACGCCGACGTCGGTGACCGTAGCTGCACACACACTCGGTGCGGCTACTGTCGAGGCGGTGGCGGAGAAGGGCATGAGTGCAGCGCTAGCCACGGGCGGCAGATCAGTTGACCCTGCACAGGCGGCGAAGGACCACAACGATGCCGATATCACTGCCATCCAGGACCTGTTGGAAGCGGTAAACCGCCCCAAGCAGCCCCCTGTGCTGGCCATCTTGGACTCGGCGAGTCCCACCGGTTGTACAGCGGAGCCAAAGACGACCACTGCTGCGGTCGGCGCGGGAAAGTCGAAACGGAAGGGGATGGTTGACGCAGGGAAAGCGAGGCCGAGCTCGAAGAAGAAAACACGGGCGACGTCCGCGATGGTGAAGTCGGTGGAGAAAGGACAGGGGATGGCGACGGCGATGGTGGAGAAGGAGGAGGAGGAGATCGAGGAGAAGAAGGAGAAGGAGGAGAAGGAGAAGGAGGAGGAGGAGAAGGAGAAGGAGAAGGAGAAGGAGAAGGAGGAGGAGAAGGTGGAGGAGGCGGAGGTGGGGGAGGAGGAGAAGGAGAAGGAGGAGGAGAAGGAGGAGGAGGAGAAGGAGGAGGAGAAGAATCTGGAGGAGGAGGAGGCGGCGACGGAGGAGGAGAAGGTGAAGGTGAAAGAACGGAAGGGTCATGGCATCCGCCACGACACCACGGGCGACAAGCAAGGGTGGGTGGGCGAGATTAAGGTGGTCGGGAACGAGAGCAGATACATCGGCAAGTCCCGCGACAAGATGGAGCTGGCGTACCTTCACTCGATTGTGTACCTCCTGTACGACGGTTACGTCAGCAAGATCCTCATGGCCGAGCTCACCGGCTTGGAGGAAACAGTGATGAAGCAGTGGAGGGCGGTGTGGAAGGAAGTCCGGTTCTTGCCGACTGGGATGTGGACGGTGATATGGGCACGGGGCGCGTTCCTCCCAAAGACACGGTAAGTCGGATAAACGTCGGCCAAGCTATGATGTCGACGTCGGCGTTCCTAACGGCCAGTTTCGTGTGATTGCGTGACAGGTTCGATGATATCCTCGGGAAGTATCGAGCGTACAAGACATCAGGCGATGCGCACCACGATGCGCTTTTGCCCGCGATCTGGTTCCCCGTCGATGCCAACACGAAGGAAAGGAAGGAGAAGTCGGATGCAATGATGCCGGCCATGATTGATCGCGTGTCCATGTGCGCGGCGTATGGGATGGTCGCTGCATCCGCGGCGAGAATGGAGGGCGACACGGATCAGAAGACGGCGAAGGTCGCACAGGCGCTGTCGGCCTCCGCTTGCGCCCTGTGGTGCTTAGTCGATGGCGACGGCGCCCAGGTGGCTGATGCCGTCCGCGAAGGGAAGGCGGCGGCGATGTTGGTCGGCGCCAGCGAGACTACCGCCGCCGAGTTCAAGAAGGTCATGACGGCGGTGCTGGAGGCCGCGATCAGCAGGCAGCAACCCCTTGGGGAGGTTGCGCACAACGTCGCACCGGCGCTGGAGTCCACCGCTCTGGCCAAAGCCTATCCGGGGTTGGATGTTGAAGCCGAGGCCAAACTGATCGCACGAGCGACGGTGGAAACCCTCGCGTTCTGGGGAATGTGCCCCGTGGATGGGCCGAAACTCAGGAAGATCGGCATCGCGGTGCCGCTTGACGCGCAGATGGAGTACGACATCGAACACAGGGGGAGGAAGAGGCCGAGGGGCAAGCAGGGCAAGGACAGCTCGGGGAAGAAGGGGAAGAAGGGCAGAGCGGGCAAGGACAGCACGGCGGCGTAGTCGGCATAACAATCTGCCATGGGCGGCAGGAGGGAGCGCAAGTAGGTCTTCTTGCTAGGATGGCCTGGTATGGGCGGCGTCGATTATGTGGTTTTTTTGGGATTTTTTTTTCGTTTGATTGTATAGTTTTCGTTGGGATTTCTTTTGTTGGCTGTAACTTTTTGGTAGTGCATGTTACTAGAACACTCCTCGGCAAAGTCGACCTGATCTCTACCATGTTACTCAAATGCGGGCCCGGTTCGATGAACCCCGTCGGCGTATAGCAACTCGGCGTCGTACGGTGTCGACACAGTGCGTCTGGCTGTATGCATGTATATACTCGGCGATGAGCCTCGTCGGCTAGGCCGAGATGGTCAATGGTCGGCGCTTTGGGGAATGTGCCGCGCCGCCCAGGTGGCCGAAACTCTAGGAGGTCGGCATCGATGTGCCGTTTGACGCGCATATCCAGCGGGCATGGACAGCACAGATGCGTAGTCGGCGCGCGGAGGGAGCGCTAGGTGATATGATTGCTCGGTTATAGCGTGATCGGCGCCGTTTGCGCCGTTTGCATGCAGTCAGGGATGTCGACATGAATAAGGCACAATGAATTGCACACACATGGTGGCGACTATGTCGGAGTCCGACATATCTGGTTCGGATGTATGTGTTGGATCATGTATGTTCGTGTTGCATCAAAATCAACAAGTACGATGGGAACACTACGGTTTGCTAAATTAGGGCATCATCAACCTACGCTAACACATATATACCGAGGATCTTCATGCCGACTTCTTGCGCTTTGACCGAGGACGCTGCGCAGGTGCGGTCTGCTTGGCCAAGTCGGCCACGGTCTTCGGCATCTGCTCCTCCCAGGTGTCTGGAAACAGGCGGTCGACCCACGTCGTCGGCTTCAGCTCGAGCGCCACCAGCGCACTGGCGAGGCGTAGCTTTGAGACCACCTTGGGGCCAAGCCCCTTGACGCCCATGCCAGGCCCCTTGGACATCGTCGGTGCCGTCTCCGGGTTGAGCACCGTGAGGGCATCGCAGAAGGTCCCAATGCCCGGTGACGCGATCGTGTTCAGTGCATCGACCACGGCTTCGGTGTCGGCATCGCCGTCGCTCGCGCGTAGCTGGCGCACCGCATCCATGGCCTTCAGCATGCGGCGCACCCTCATGTTGAGTGCACCCTGGGTCGCGCCTTTGAGGAGGGTGTGGCGGTCGATGAACCCCGGCTTGGCGACCCTGTCGCAAAGACGACGGGTGTCATTGGCGGTGGCGGAGTTCCAGAGGCGCCAAGCGTCCCGCACGGTCTTTGAATCCCGCCAAGGTTGCACCACGTTGAGCTCGTAACTGGCCTCCTCTGCCGTCTGGGGGGGTGGCGGGGGTTTCCCATCATCTCTCTTGGCTCCAGTCCCCGTGTTGGCCGAATCCGCGGAGCCACCCTCGCCCGGAGTTTGATCGGTAGCCGACGGCGGCGCCGCCGGCATCCTCCGGGCTTCTGACACACGGAGTGCCTCGGTGAGTCGAGCAAGCTCGGAGGTGAGCGACGTGATGGTGTCGTTTTGCTTCTCGATCGTCTCCTGAAAGCCTAGCTTCTCGAGCGCCGAGCGCTCGACCTCCTTCTTCAGCGCCTCCTTGAGGGACATGTTGTGATACTGGGTGTCCATGCGCACGGATATTTCCTGCAATGTTGGGTGTGCGGAAAGGCGACAAGAGGTTAGAATTCACCGGCTAAAATTCAACGACGCCGACATGGTCGGCAACTCACCTCCGGTTGTATCTGAGTCGGGTCCCGGCGCTTTTTGATCGTATCGGTGTCGACCGACTCGACCCTTTTCGCCCAGTGCTGGAAGAGGGCAATCCTGCAGAGCTTGGAACCTTGGACGTACGGGTGCCACGGTGTGCGGACGAGCTTCACCGCGAGGTCCTCGGCGACGATTCGTCGGAACATCACGAGGGTGCGCAAGAAGTGCACTGCGGCTGCAGCGGCGTCGCTCCCGTTGACGGCACGCGTCTCCGCCTGCAAGTCGGAAAGTGGCGTGGGTTAGTAGGGAGTTGGGCAGCCAACTAGGCCACGACGACTGAAAAACATTGTCGGCGTCGCGTGACATACATCGCGCAGCATAGCATCTACGCCGGGGGAGATGTGCTCGGCGAGCAGGTCCAGGAGTTTGTCGGAGGGCTCGACCCTGCTGCGCCCCAAGAAGTAGTCTTGCTTGAGTCCCGAGTAGCCGGCCTTCTGCATCACCACCCCAACGGGAATGGCCGTGATGTACGCACGCGTCATCTTGTCGAGAGCCCAGTGTCCCAGCTCGGCGATCTGGGCGCGCGGCGTCCCTCCGATGGCTAACTCCTGCGCACCTCCGGCGCGGGCGGCGTGCACGTTCCTTTTGCAGAACACCTTGTTGGTCCTCCACACCTGCCGAGTCCAACGTTGGTGGGTGGCGGAGGAGAGCTCCTCCTGCTCCTTGTCGTTTCTGGCGAAGAAGAGATGCTTCTTGTACCAGCGTTCGCGTTCTGTGGTGTCAAGCGGCGAAAGAAAGTCGGTGCCGGAGAACTGACCGATCTGGTCGAAGATGAAGTGCAGCCACAGGCCGGTCTCGCCGACGGCGCACATCTCCGCTTCCAGGTGTCGCGCAGCGTAGCTTTGCTGAAGACGGGCATCCTTGGAAGTCTTCGAGTTACGCGCGGCGATCACCATGACGACCGGCTGGCTATCCAGGTTCACCTCCGAGGTGCTCGCCAGGTGGTACAAGAAGATGTCGGGGAGCGTGATCTCGCGGATGCTGGCGCCGCGCTGGAGAGTGTGGTGGGAGATTAGCGTGAGCACCTTGATGAGCAGGAATCGCCACAGCGTCTGCGACGGAGTGGTAGCCCGCGGGTTCCACGCCGCCGCCGCCCATGTCGGCAGCACCCTCATCATGATCTGGCGGAACTGCTCGGCGGTGTAGGTATCGCCGATGGTGCCGCGTCGACGGTCGGCGCAGTTCCTGAACGCAAATCGGCGGGGAAAATCTGTTAGACTGCGTCGACTTCACAGTGCACAGTGATATATGATAAGGTTGTCGACCAACTTACTTGAGGTCCCTCTCGTTCTTGTGGCGGACGTTGAACCGCACCTCCGATCTCACCACCGAGATCTCCCTCATGATGCCCAGCTCCTTCTCTCGGTACAGCGTCGCCTCCACCCTCGCCGCCATCTGGCATGCCTTTATGCGCCCGAGGATCGTGTGCACAGTTGTCGCCCTCACAGGCCCCGTTCGCGTGGCATTGTTCTCCTCCCCGGGCTGGTCAACAATGAGGTTACACTCACGGCTCATTTGCTTCACGTAGGCGCGCAGCCGGGTTTCGGTGACCCTAGGGCCGTGCAGCCAGATGTACTGTCGGCGGACCACTTTCTCGTTGCACCAATCCTTTTTCTTGTTGTCGCGGATGTAGTGGCCGATCTCGTCGACGTGCCTAAGTCGTTGCTCATGGGGTAGCTTGTCGCGTATCTGCTTCAGCATCTTCGCCGCCCACTTCTTGTAGTGGTAGATGAACGCGGTGTACAGCCTGAGCGTGCTATTCTTCTCCAAGCATTGTAGGTGTCGTAGGGCGTCCATTATGAGCACGTCAATGCTGGAGTACACCATGTCGTCCACTACAAAGTCCGTCGCCTTCCACCCTTCGCGCGGCACCGCCATGTGCTGATTGTCCTCCTTCTCGTCCTCTTCGAGCATGTCACGTATGTATTCAAATTCCCGCCTAAGGCGTTCTTCCAAGGTGCGCGGATTCGTGCTACGCGGAGGACGGTCGTCGACTTCGTCGTCGCTCTCTTCCTCGTCCTCGTCGTCGTCATCACCTTGGTTTTCCGAGCCGGCCGGCACCGGCGAAGGTCCAGTCTGCCCATCTGCCGTCGGTGTCGACTTCTTCGTAAACTCCCCAATTGGCGGATTCGGTATGTCCTTGGTGTACTCCCCTTCGGGAATCTGAGTAAGTTTGTCAATATCGTAAAGCAACTTCAGCGTCTCTACGGGGGCAGAGGACGGACTGTGGTCGGTTGGGGTACCAACGTCGGGCATGTCGACGTCGTCCATGACCGCTCGTATGCTCTACCGCCGGCCGTGGAAGAGGGAAAGATTGGTAAACCAGAGATGGTACTGATTCACGGGTGCGGTGTACGCCCTAATCGTCCTGCGGCGGTCTTCCTCGAATTCCCTCTCAAGTGCTTCTAACTCAGCGTCGACCTCGAGTCGTTCCAGTTGCGCTTTGATGTCGGCGTCTATCGAATCGGCGGGGGGTGGGATAAGTTGTTGTGGCTGTTGGGCACTAGCCCTTCCTCTGGCCATGCGTCGCCGACTCGGTAAGGTTGGGAGATGCTATCGTCGCCCTGATCTATCGTCGCCGACTTTCCTAGATGACGACCTAGAACCTAGTAAGGCGAAGTCGACGATGGTCGACCCCAACACCGACCTATGACAGTCTATTCCAGGTCGTCGCCTTTGTGCCGCCGCTCGGTCGACTCGGCCGTCGAGTAACCTACACCCGCAGAGATAGCGAGGGTCCTGTGAAGAAAACGAAGTGCTAGATGGCGCACAGGAGCATGAGAGAAACATGAAGCTGAACCGGCAGAATGAGAGCGTTGTGCGTGGTCAAGGAGGGGTATGGTTGCGAGCCACTGCGCACCTGCCGCGCTCCACGCAGCCCTCTTTGCAAGCGCCGCTGTGCACGTGCATGACGTGTCACGATCGATGCATGTCTAGTGTCACGCCGCTCTGCGCTCAGCGGCACTCCCGCCGGTGCCTTGCCACGGTGGAATTCATGTGCGCCACGTGCAATAGGCCAATCACCTAGTTCCACTCTCCCGAAATGCCGTAGCGTCCTGCTCTCCCGCGCAAACCTCATCGACCTGCGAGTAGGCGCGTGGCCGGAGGCTTGGTCGACGCCGACATTCCCTGAGTCTGGGGCTCTCTTCGCCTATGCATTGTTTGGTCCGCACAGAACCATCCGCGTGGGTCGTGCTGCTGCGGTTGGATCTTCGG